ACACATGCTGATTGTTATGCTGGGTGAGAAAATATGCAAGGTATCCTCTTCCTGCACTCTCTTCACCATCTTGGTGGACATCCTTGATGGGCTGCTAAAGGTCCTCTCCTCAAGGCTCAAAGGCATAGAAGGGAAAGTGGCTGATGGAAACGAAGCTGCATCAAAACTACAGTTGTGCCTGCAGGTCCCAGTCAAGACTCTTTGGGTTAGATTTCAGCACCATGGAGAGCAGCCTCGCCCTTACTGAGTTGTGGGCTTCTTGATTAGATTTACATCCTGCTTTTCATTCAGAATCTTAAGGCTGCATATACAGTGCTCCATCCTCCCATTTCCCCCCACAATAACAACCCTGTGAGGTAGATTGGGTGGAGAAAGAGTGGCCCAAAGTCACTCATGAGCTTCCACAGCTGAGAGTGGCTTTGAACTTGTCTCTCCCTGGTCCAAATTTTAAATAGCATTGAGCCGGTGTTCAGGAAGTCTACAGAAAGTTTTCCTAAATGCTCCATTCCTTAGAAGGTAGTTGCCAGGTCCTAAGAAGCCACTATCCTTTTCTGTACTTGCCAGATTCTCTTGGGAGATGAGAGTTGGGGCAGAGGATTAAAGAAATCTCTTGGAGACTCCATGAATACTTGAATTGTCCAAGACCTGCCACTTGAGGTTTGAGGGCACTAGAATTGTAAGAACAGGCTCCAAGGTATTGGAGAACCAGGCATTGTTCTGATGCCTCCTTGGACTCACTGCCACTGGAAATTTCAGCTTCCAGAGATTTTCATTATTGAGCCACAGCAGAAGAAGCATGAACCCATTGGAAAGAATGTGGAATGTGAGGAACCCTTACCTACCCTCTATCCTATTGAAGTGGGTGTTATCGGGGAGAAATGAGCACCCATTGAGGCCACGCAGGCAGTCAATGGTTTGTAGGGTGTAGGCTGCCTGCTCCTCCTACACTACTATCAACTGGTAATATGCATTTAGGATTGGTTCCAGTTAGGGATGGCAAAGAAAGGATGAAGTCAGTGTTTGATCAGAGAAGATGAGTGTTGAGTGACCTGGGGAAGATGGTCCATTTTTGCTGTTCCAGAAGGTACTGCAGAAATCAAATCTATTGCTTGAGGTGAGAATGATGTGATTTGTAATCCAACATATGTGGAGGGTGCCTGGTTAGGAAGGCTGCTTCATTCGGTTGTAGGTCCATTGAAAAGAAGCATGAATGTCATCCTACCCAAGTTTTAAAGTATGTGCATAGTCCTTAAAACACACCATTCTACCTAAAGAAGTCTTAAACCTAGAAAATGGCTGTCACTGGAGCTTTGCCATTTCAGTAGTCCCAAAAAGGTCTTGAGATATTAAAAAACAATCGCCCCATCCCATAATAACTTATAGAACTGAGTCATTTTGTTCATAAGTCAGGTTTCATTTCATTTTCCCTTATCTCCCACATCCAATTTCTTTGGCATATAATTTTGTCCTCTTTTTCTGAACTTTGTATAATATGGCTAATCCTAAAAGTGACCAGGTGAGAGGTATAAACATATATAGCCTAATATGCCATATTTTTTAGTCATTTCTGTATTCCCATTGACACTTGAATATTCCTTGCAACATTTAAGAAAGTAGAAATTGATTTGATTTGATTTGATTTGATGCTAGGTGATTTTGTGCAAATTACTATCACTCAGCCCAAATCACTTCATGGGGTGGTTGTTGTGGGGAAAATAGGAGCATTAGGTATGTACACTGCCTTGACTTGACCAAAAATAAAGGCTGGATAAAAAATCAAGCAAATAAATACATAACTGAAGGCAAGTGGTGGTTAGTTAATGTTTCTATCCTGGTAAGACCATGGGATTTCTTTTAACATGGCTCTTACAAGACTACAAGTCAATACTATCTCATAACTTAAGTTAGTTCATAACCAAAGCAATTATCATGTGGACACAGGCAATAATCTGTGCTTGCTTGCTTGCTTATTTATTTATTTATTTATATTTATTTATTTAAATGCTCTTAGAACAGTGTTTCTCAACCTTGGCCACTTTAAGCTGTGTGGACGTCAACTCCCAGAATTCCCCAGC